TTGAGTTCTATAAGGTAGTCTAATATGTTTCGAGTATACATTTTGCCCGAGATTTACCAATCGAAACTGAAAATCGTACTAAAGGTGAATTTCGATTGAAAAAGTTACCCTTGATCTATTAATCGAAAATGGCATAAGGAAATTTGGATTTAAAATGATAAGAATACGAGCGGAAGAGGATTAGCTATAATCATTGACAAATGCTCAAAAGTAATACTATCCCTGGAGAATCTGTCGTCATGTTTATAAAACGTTACAACTAATATTAGTCTATTTGGCTAACGCATTCTCAAGTACGTTCTAAAGTTAATGAAGATAAATTAAATAAATTTAATATATATAAAAAAGTAAAAAATCCCTATAGATTTTCACAAATAAATTTAATAACAAAAATGTTGTTGCTTAGGTTTTACTTTATTTTTGTAATAAGTAATATAAGTCGAGGCAACTTATTTTTTTTTTTTTTTTTTTTTCAGTAGGTGGAAAGCATTGAAAGCCACAGTGTGAGACTTGAACCCACTAAAACCACCTCTTAGGAATGAATGGAGAAGATTCCCACAGCAATGTGGAAAGTTGATAGACTTAATACCTAGTAACCTAGGTTTATCTAAGCCAGAAAGCAAGGGCATGAATTAAGGAGAAAGGGTAGTGAAGAAGGGGCAACTTATTCCTATCCAGGTTTGATATTTGCCTACTACTACTAGTGCTACTACTAGATTCAGATGAACCCTAAATCTATCTTTTTTATATTTCGAAAGTTTTTGTTGAGGTCCGCAAAGAAAATTAGATGCCAAAATAAATGTTATAAAATCAAACAAATATTGGAATGACCTATGATTTATAGTTCTGTGTATATCTAAATTATTTGTGTTTAATAATAGTATTTGCTTTAAAAGACATATGAACGCACAATTAATTCTTAAGCAATTAATTAGGTGCATTTTGTATTATGTTTTTTTTTCGGTTTTTGCGCTGCGACCTGGACATCTATTATACCTTCTTCATGATCTTAGAGCATTTTATGTACAATTTCTTTAATAAATTTTGGTATTGAACCTACATTACAGATTTTGATTTCTGTAATAAAATGAGATGGGATGCTCACCTAGCTATTTCTTTCTTTCTGTATCAGTTTCGGATAAACTCTAAGCAAGTGTTTCAAGGCGTCATTGTCTCTTTCAAAATAGTTACAAGTTGTATTAGAATAACTTTCCAGTATTTTGTATTTTGTAAGTGATAGTTAAATCCACAGTACCCCGTTAACAATCTTGTAGTGATACTTAAATTATTCTTTAATTATAGTAGTAAGAGTTCCGTTAAAAATATTGGTTTCAAAAAATTTGGTATTGCATTTAAATATTCTTTTATTCAATTATTTATTTGGAAACATCAAATTTTCAATTACTTACAGAGAGGTCTTCTTCTCAAACATATTTTTTCATTTTATAGATGTAAAAGTTATGTTGTACTCTGATATCTTTAATGGTAGATATTTGAGGCGTAAATACTCCGTTTTTATTTGTTCAAATATTACGAAATGTTAATAATACATAATATATTAATAATACATAATCTTTGATATTATTATCTTTGATATTAATATGAATAAGTTGTATATTTTGATTTTATTAATATAAATTGAATTAACAGTCAAAACTCTTTATAGCAAACCTCCCTATAACGAATTTAAAATTTTTTTTGCTTTTGAATTTTTTCATATACATAAACCTCTCTATCACGGTTGCCACTTATGGTACTTTAGTACCAAAATTGGTACTTTTTTTTCCGTTTGGTACTCTGGTACTCATGTTCAAAAAATGGTACATTTTCGGCGACCCAACTTTATTGTGGATATTTTCAATTAATTTTTTTTATAAATGTAACTTGTATTGTTTTATACTTTTTGTACATTTTATATAAATTGTATTTTCTTATAAAAAGACAATAGAAAAATTTTGGACCTTTTTTTACAGAAATGGTACCTTTTTAAACCAATTTTGGTACAGAAAAAAATTTTCAAGTGGCAACCGTGCTCTCTATAGCGAACCTCTCTTTAGTAAACTATAGCGAACCTCTCTATAGGGAACTTCTCTTTAGCGAACCTCTCTATAACGAACCTCTTTATAACGAACCTCTCTATAGTGATATTCTCTATAGCGAATTTCTCTCTATAGCGAACCTTTTTATAGCGAATTTCTCTCTATAACGATGTTTTTTTAGGTACACAAACAAATTTTGCATAAAGAAAAGCCTCTCTACAATGAGTTTCTTCAAATGCAAGTTTAACACTCCATTTAACTTATGAGAAACTGTGTCATACTCGATATGAGCTTGTGGATGTGTTACTCAGTTTATAATAGGCAAGGGCACATTTTTGGCATGGTAAGTGGGGAAGAACATCAACTGCATTTGCTGAAAGTAAAAGATTTAAATAAAAGAGTGATAATCAAACACATATATGTGTGCTCTCGCTTTGAATACGAGGGGTAGAGAATTTTTAGAGAGGTATAGAAATTTTTGAGTCCATTAACTTATTGGAAGAGTTCTTTGACAAGAAAAAAGTTAAAATATCTGAACAAAAACTAAAAATAACGAATTTTGTGAGTTAAATAAAATAATTAATTATGAAAATTTAAATAACAAACAGTAACAAATTAAATAATATTAATAAATAATAATGGTTCTAAATCGAACTGGTTAAATAAATATAATAAACACAAATTAAATATATTTTTGAAATAAATATGTGTATAATTCTTAGTAAAAAGGAAAAAAAAAGCCAAACCAAAAAAAATTGTTAAACCTCTCTATAACGAAGACCTCTCTATAATGAAGTTTTTTGCAGGGGCCAACGATTTCCTTATAGAGAGGTATATCAATTGCAATCTAAACACGTTTATTTCACTTACGCAAACAATTTATGCTCTAGGATGATATTTTGTGCTAGCATTCCACCTTGGTCATAGAAGTTATTGGAACATCACTTTAAATGACACATCTTTTATTTATATCAATTCAATCTAAAAACTTTCACTACACTCATGTAAGCATTAATGCTTTTAGGTCATATTAGCTACTTGAACACTACTTTACTGTTATAAATTTAATTTATATTAATTGCAATCTATATATTTTTATTCCACTCATATAAGCATTAATGCTCAAACTCAACAATTTCACTCCTCTCATGCAAGCAGTTAATGCTTTTAAATTATATTAGGTGCTTGAACACCACCTTCGGTCATATAAAGTACATGGACACCAATTAATGTGATGTGAATTTAATTTATATCAATTGCAACCTCAACACTTTCACTCCTCTCATGCAAACAGTTAGCGCTCTTAGATCATATTTGGTACTTGCCCACCACCTTCGGTCATATAAAATACATGAACACCACTTAATATGATGTAAATTTAATTTTTATCAATTGCAATCTACGCATTCTTACTTCACTTATGCAAGCAGTTAGCGCTCTCAGGTCATATTTGGTGCTTGAACACCACCTTCGGTCATATAAAGTATATGGACACCACTTAATGTGATGTAAATTGGATTTATGTATGTCAATTACAACCTCAACACTTTCACTCTTCTCATGCAAGCAGTTAATGCTTTTAGATTATATCATATTAGGAGCTTGAACACCTTCTGAGGTGATACATAGGTGATATAAGTTATATGAATACCACCTTATAGCACTTTATCTTCACTGCGTGCGTGAGTGAAGTCTCAATAAGTTTAGATTGCAATTGATATTAATTAAAAATGGTATGGCACGAGTAATTCATAGGCATTTGATATATTCAATATATGACTTAATCACTTCAGTTAATGCTGTTGTGAGTTTTATTTTTTATGCATATACCATACAGTGTAATATTAAATTTTTGCAATAATAAATATTAATGTGAATTGTACTGCTAATAGCGATTTATTCATTTGACAAGTGACAGTATTTGAATATGAAAATTTTTTGCAACATTGCAAATTGCATTTTTGAGAATTTATCAAAAGACCTGGTATTTCTTGACACATAAAAAAATTTCAAATAAAAACCGAAGACCAAAGACTAAGAATCAAAATATAGAAAATGGAAAAACACGGAGCCAACAGCAAGTCAAACAAAAACAAAAAGCAAAGAATCTGTTGTCAAATGAAGTGGAGCATTTGTTTAATACTCAATGTTGACATTGAAAACACAATAACAGTGCTCTCGCTTTCGTTTCACATGGAGTGTTGTTGTTGTGTTTCTGCTGTTGCCAGAAATATTGTTGCTTTTAAGCATTTTGTGTTATTGTCTCTTGTTCTTGTTCTTGTAATAACATGCCAAAATTATTAATTGGTCATGATTACACTGTTGCGTACATATGTACATATGTAGATGATGCATATACGTACATGCAAATATGAATGCACTTATATATATTTATACAATGCATGTTGTTGTTGTTATTATTATTATTTTACCAATGTCTTATTTATTTTTGTTTATTAGCTTACCGTGCGAATTCAACAATTAAAATACAACTTTTTACACAACGTTGCTGTTTCGCTGTTGCTGCTGTTGCTGCTGCTGCTGCTGCTATTGTGGCCGATGCCGTTTTGCCGGCTACGCTAGTGAGCGTAACGGTTATGATGAGTGAAGTGTGATAAACGCTTCAATTTATATTTTAGTCGCTCGCTAAACACTGTGCATGCATGTTGGTATCATCGCATAGCTATTTGACCGCGAAAAAAATCAAATGAAGTTTTCGTTGCAATAAAATTTTATAAAATATAAATAAACATATTATTTAAATATTTTATATGAAATAAATAATATTTGTATATGTGAAAACATAATTATTTATAAAAATTTAAATGTGTGTAAATGACACACACAATATGTTGTATGTGTGTGTACTAATTTTATACAGAATGCAATCAAATGTGAAAATTCATTCAGAAATTTTAAAATTTTTGATTTTTCTTAATTTGTGAGCCAATAAAAAATAAATATTATAAATATAAATTTTTAGTGTTAAAACGCGTAAACTGCTCTTGTACCGTAATCTGAACAATATAGCACAATCTTAGAAAAACAAAAAACAAAAAACAAAAAATAAATAACAACAAACAAAAAACAATAGACACACGTACAAGCGAACGTAAAAAAATCGAAAAACAAAGTCAAGTTCAATGCTCGAAATTTATTCTCAAAACAATTCGTGGTTAAGCGTAAAGTGCGTAAAGTGTGGTTCAGCTCGAGTGTTTAACAGAGCAGCGGTGCGCCACACTCCATAACATAAACAACTTAATAAGCAATCAAGTGAAGCGCTACTGTGCTGTCGATAACAGCGCCGCTGTATGCGGCCTTCACTGTTCCCACCGCCAATTAAGTTTAAGTTTTAATACAAAGCTTACAAGCTGCCGTGAGTCCATCCAAAAAATACACTCACACACAAACATTTTTGCGAAACCTTGCAGAACACTAGAAGGTGTTAGAGAAAAAAGTGAGTATAAAACAAATAAGTGCTTTACTAGGAGTGTGTGGGAGTGGGAGTGGGAGTGTGATGTGATGTCCTTTGTGCTTACTAGAATTAAAGATTTTTTAGTGTTCTTACTGATTTCATGTGTTTTACGCGTTGGGTTTAGTGAAGTGTTAAGTATAAGCACTAATAACGAAAGCAGGTGTTTTCCTTCTTTTTTTTTTTTTAAAAAAACGCTCAACAGTTTTCTAATGAGAATTTGAATAAATAAAAAAAAAACAAAGAACAGCTGTATGATAATTAAAACAAATTTTTAGCTTCCGCAGAACTTCCAGAAACCAAATTAACAACGCAAATACAATAGACGACAATCTAAAAAAAAATTTAGAAATTAAACTTTTATTTAAGAAAAAACTTATATGGACTCAAATCAACCTTTATGTGTTATCACATAATCAGTTTTCAATCAGTTCCTGATTGCAGCTTTGATGGTTTTTCAAAGTTCACATTAGTTTAAGCCTGGAATGAGAAAAAGTATTTGCAATTCCATGAATTCGAATAGTATCAATTTATTTCGTTCGTAATCTACAATCTTTAATCTAGATCCATTATTACTTTATTGTGAAATTTCGGAGTATTGTCTTAGGAAAACTGATGTAGGCACCTTCTACAGTCCTCTTTTGAGACTACTTTTTATTAGCAAGAAGATATAATAAAGTTCGATACAACTGTTTATTTGTTATAGCAAAGCCAGGACTATATGGTGGATGTATTAAGACTTACAAGTCACATTCTTTCAAATTTTAAGAGGATACCAAAGATATATGTGGACTTTGCATTACCATAATGAGACATAATTGTAGGAATAAAAAGTCGAACAGATTTTATATTAAACTTTTACAATGAAATATGAATCATAATCCAACATGTTATTTTTATTTATTTTTGCTGGGTCTTCACTTTTCTGAGACGAATTTTCTGTCAAAAAAAATTATTTTAGAGAATGATACATTGATACATACTATAATAATGCAATATCAGCAATATATAATGGGTGTACCAATATTTTAAGGTCAAAGTGAAACAATTTTTGGTGAGGTACTCAAGTATTTTGATGTATTCATCAAAGTATATCCTTTTGATTCGTTTCACTCTTTTTTTAATATCTTTCTAAAATTTTTTTTGGAGATAATAAGATTCTTGTGGCATAACTATGCTATGATTGCAGTTCTATAAATTACACCCTTTTCTTAACATCCTACTAAAATTTTTCTGGGATTATTTTAGATACAATTGATAAAATAATAGTGCAATGTCAGCACAATTATATAATAGGTGCAACTATACTTTCAAGTTAGTGGAGGTTTCCGAGGAGGTTATACTGAAGAGGTTTAATACCTAAGGTTTCCGAAGACTTAATATTGCCATAATGCAATATAATAGATTGAATCACAGCTTAAAATAAATTTATATTTTATAGTAGTGGCAATTTTAATATGTATAAAATTGTCACTACTATTTTATATATATAAAATGAAGAAATAAATTTAATATGAAATATGCTTCATTTATATAAAAAATGAAATAATGGTATAAAGTGCCAAATCGTACAATGGCACTTTAAATAAATTCTATGACAATATCTTGCTTTAACTACATTAATTAATGGCATTAGATATTTGTGAACCAATTGTACTAAAATATTTAGTAATTGCCTATAACTGATGATTTCCCTGTAATTGCAGCAAATACGTAGCATTCTCTTCCCTATTGTCAATTACAGTTTGAAATCGAAATCGATCGAGTTTCATCTTTTTTCCACCAAAATCGTTTCAAACCATGGTTGGTAGTGATATATCATTGTAATAAATGGCTTGATAGTGATATACAGTAATGATATGTAAAAGTGACATATAAAATGTTGATATATGATGGTGATATATAAAAATACATGGTCGACTGTTTGACAACTGCTTGGAAATCATTTAAAAATCGATTGGATGTTTTTCCTCATGTCAGTGTTTCTTACATGGACATTTAGTTAATCGTATTTTATTCTATTAGTTCATGAGGCACCCAAATATTAAGTTTCTTTTTGTGACTAACTTTTTGTAATGCTTTAAGAGAGATTTTTATTTTAAGTTTAGCTGTATCAATTGTAGCCCTTAATTGTCAGCAAAACCAAAGATACCGTTTTTTATTATATATAGTTAGGTTAGTTTGGTCATTCTCGTATTTAATTAACTTAGCATGATGGAGATTATATTATAGTTATTATCTCATTATGCTCATTATTATTATTATCTTATATGTATGAATTCTTAATTATTTATAATCTTCGATTATTCAGTTGATGTACTGACATTATATTTAATGTCATAATTAATTAAGTTAATTGATTCATAATTAAAATATCTTTAGATATGGTTTTGCATACCTTATGGAAAAACCTTTTATGTATTATTGAACTTCAATAAAATTACGTATTTTAATTAATACTTGCATATTAATCCATAAGTTTGTAATAATAATTTAAGATAAATACAATCAGTAAAGCATGCTAACTGATAAAATTTATCACAGATAAAAAGATGATGCAATTTATGTTTTAATGATAGACATGATAAACTATATGCTATAGTGTTGAAATGAGTAGGAAAAACCATTTGTGATTTAATTGTATTTTGTGTTACTAGTTTCAAGAGTTTAGATTGCACTCCCTACCTAACTTAGCTATTGAACAGCTTATCTCTATATATTTGATAAGTTACAATAGCTTAATAGACGGTTCTTTTATAATTTATGTAAATATTTTGATTAAAAATTCACTATCATTGTGTCCTTTATGTAATTCAATATTGGCTGTATCGAAATCTATCTATTAATTTATATTATTGACATTTTCTTTTCCAATGGAGAAGATTACAAGATTATATTATTAGTCTAGTGACTCCGACTCCTTAGATTCAATGTTTTTACTATTTTATATTTACTATTTTTTATATTTTTACTATTTTACTATTATTACTATACTATTTATTACTATAAATAAATTATTGCATTTATACAATTTTTTTGTAATATTTTTTGGAATTTCTTTCTCAGTTATCAAGTAGTAACGACTGGTCTTATGGAAGTCACACACATCTATGACTTGACTATATATCTAGAGTTCTAATCACTGTTTATCATTCAATAAAATTTTATTTTTGAATTCTGATAAATGATTTTATCATTTAAGTCTGTTATTTTGTTTCTAACTGTTCAGATTATTTATTATTGATTTCCTTAATTTCAGACAAAATTTATTGTAGTTATATATAATATGCAGTATATAACTTTACTGTACAATTTTCGATATAATAGTGTCCAAGTATTTTGTATTGATATCTGTCTTACCTTGTTGTGTTATGTCTTACCTTATAGCCAACTTTTTGATTGGTTTTATTTTTGGTAAAGTTTTCTCAACTGTCCAATTATCCAAATATGCTTTATTCCCATAGATCTGAAAACAATATTTTGGATACGATTTTTAAAAGGATGTTCTAATTTTTCGAAGTGACTATTTGTTGTTTAATGATATATCAAAGCAACCACCAGTTCTGACATTCATTGTTAATCCATCTTACCTTGAAATTTTCGGAGCTCAATTCTACTAATTTTACTATTCTATTCCAAGGTAAATATTTCCAAATCAATGAAATTAAGCAAAACATTTACAATACAATTAAACATAGATGGCACAGATTCAGAATGAGATTTATGCTACCTGACTAACTCGGATATGTTATTGCGGTTGAAAATGTTGAGAACTGCAGCTCTGATGTATGGGTACATTGAAATCTGCAGACGGCCATATTCGAAGATGGTAATGGTTTATGGGTTAGGCTAAGACCTTTATGTACTGCGAACAGCTTGTTCTATTGTGCACCCCTTTGTATTTAGACATTTTATATCTCAAGCATATTGGAAGATACCTGATAAGGTTTTAAAATCTGACAAATATATAAATGCATATAAAAAGGATTAAGTTAAAGACTGTCAAAATTTGATGTTGTGGTGAAATTTGTACGGTATGACTGGCATCCATCGTATAGTTCGTATAGTTTGTATGATATTGATGATACGTATTGTATAAATATTGATACATATATTTATATATTACTTCAAAATAGTTCAGTAAAATTGGATCTAGATTTGATATATCCTTTCAAATAAAAATGAAAAAACCAATTCTTGTCAATATTGTTCATCTTTTGTGGCGTTGAAAATGATAATAGATGTATTGGATAGAATTGGATGTATAACATCCAAATCTGCAATTCTCTCCGATTATCTTATTGGTTTATAGCTGCAATACTCGATCATTTAATTTGATCGTTTCGAATTATTGCAATATTTTTGTTGAGATGTCTGTAAAGCAATGATGCCTTGAAATTATATTTATTATATATTTATTTAAATAAATATATTTATTTATTGTATATTTAAATACATTTTCTTTTACCACTTTTTTCGTAGTTGAGTTGATGAGTTTTGTTTGATTAATTTTATGTGATGTTTAACTTTAGCACCATCAGCTAGAGTTGTCTTTTATATTGCCTTCTCAGGGATAGATAATATTTCATTGTTTCCTTACTGATTATTATTTACGCAGCCGATTTAGTGGAACATATAGTTAGTTTCCAGAGTTTTTATTAGTTCGATGTTAATTGCTTACTGCATGTATATGCCAAATAATTATCAAAAATATTATCGATTACGTTTGGTAAGTCTCAATCCTAATTAAAATCGTGTCCATTTCCTATATGTCTTATTGTTTGCGTTGATTATTGCAGCGATCATCAAGATATTATTTTAAAATTTTGTTGCAGAGGTAATAGTATTTTGTTGAATTTGTTTTTTAAACTGTCTTAGATAATTTCCATATTTTATTGTTGAATCAATTTATCATTTTTTCTCTTTATTTTTTTGATAGCTATCCAATCCGTTTTGTATTTAGTTTATATTTATAATATATATGT